CCCCCCCCCCCCCCAAAAAAAAAAAAACGTGAACGTGTTTCATTCTCTCTTACCTGTTCCTCTCCTTTGTCTACAGCATCCGGTTGCGCAGCAGATGACGACTCCTATGATGACACACAGGGCAATGAAACCGACTACAGAGCCTACTATGGCACCGGTACTATAAAGACATTTTATCAGCCTGAATCAGCCAGTTATATAATAAGATGCACGGTTTCAACATTATGTAAAACGAACAAAATGCAATAACATTCTAGGGTCAATTACGTGCACAAAGACACACACACACGCACAGAGAAGAGAGAGAATCTCTAGACTATTTGGAAGAAAAAATGTGTACGTACACATTTATGATGCCTGATGTAGTACTGCTGCTTGAGGGGGTGGGGCACGATAAAATAGAGGAATAACTCCCATAATATCTGCTATAGGACGAGGTACAGCAGTATTTACTGGTAGATGTCCCGCAACAGTACTTGGAACAGTAGAAGGAATCTCTGTAACTGCCAGATGTCGTGAAATATGCGCAGCAATATTCTCCTGAATTAACTGTAAATACAAAGGTCATGGAAAGGTCGAGGTCAAAATTATAATGGTTCGATCCACACCGTGTCCCATTAACGTCTATTATAGGTAACATGTAAATCGATTATTATTACAAACGAACCTGTTACGCTGGTTGGTGGAGGGTCGAGCGAGCATAACCAGCTACTGGAATAACTCCTATGATATCTGCTTGAGTACGAGGAACAGCAGTATTTACTGGTAGATGTTCCGCAGCAGTACTTGGAACAGTAGAACGAACTTCTGTAACTGCCAGATGACGTGTAATATGCACAGCAATATTCTCCTGAACCTACTGTACGTACTATAAATACAAAGGTCAAAGCTCATGGAAAAGTCAAGGTCAGAACTCAAATGGTCACACAATACCGTTTTCACTTATGTCGACGGTAGCTAACATGTACCAGTATATATGCACGTACATTGTACAGTGACAAAATGAAAATTTTAATCGACTCTAACATACGCACCTGTTGTTGTGGGTGGCCTGGGGGCTTCGGGGCAGAACGAACTATAGGAATAACTCGGGTAGTATCTGTTATAATACCTGTCACAGCAGTATTTACTGGTAGATGTCCCGCAGCAGTACGGGGAACAGTAGAACGAGCTTCTGTAACTGCCAGATGACGTGTAATATGCGCAGCAATATTCTCCTGAACCTACCGTAGGGACTGTAAATACAAAGGTGAAAGCTCATGGAAAAGTCAAGGTCAGAACTCAAATGGTCACAATACACCGTTTTCAATTAACGTTGAAGGTAGCTGACATGTACCAGTACATAAATTGTATACTGACAAAGTGAAAATGTATTCCACTCTACATACGAACCTGTTGTTGTGGGTGGCCTGGTGGCGAAGGGGCAGAACAAGCTATCGGGATAACTCGAGGAGTATCTGATAAAGAACGAGTCACAACAGAATTTACCGGTAGACGTCCCGCAGCAGTACTCGGAACAGTAGAACGAACGTCTGTGACTGCCAGATGACGTGAAATATGGGCAGCAATATTCGCCCCCGCTCACTAGAAAATTTAAGATGGGCTAAATAAGCAATAAGCTAAAAAAATAACCTGATCAAATTATTACTCCCAAAGTTATACTGTTTTATAACTTCTACGTGTACATGTACCAGTACCACCTTTTATATTTAATCAAGTAAACATCATCACATAGATCATATACATTAAATCATTATTTTATGTACTCTTTATAATACATGTGCAAGATAATGTTTTAACGCTCACATCTTTACAATCCATCTTTGTGCCCGATTGAAGCTACCGCTGTTACGAGATTAAACCCTTAGATCACAGAAAATGTTCATCTATTGTGGTGTATACCCCCAGTACATGTGCACATGTTCGCATAACTCCTCATCTTATAGCTCAAATCTTGTGGCACGAATCTTTTAAAATCAGTGTAAGCTGAGACCTACAATGAACCTACTCGAATTTTAACAAGCCCAAACTAGCCCAAACAAGCCTGTAGCACGAAACTTTTCTTTGCACGTGACGAATTTATTAAACACGACAGATGTACATGTATTAGTAGGCCTCGAAATCGAAAATTGCTCTGAAGAGCCACAAAAAAGAAAAAAAATCGTAAGCAACAAGCTGCTGTGTATGGAGGGCTTAATATATTTTACTTGAAATTAATTACAAGAAGATAGTGTAGACCCAGGGAGTTCGTTTTTCAAATTCACATTCAACTCGCTAGCCTAACTGGACATCTGATGGCCTGAATAGGTACGCCTGTAGTGAGATAATTTCCCCTTCTAAACCGTCACTTCCTGGTCCGTATAGACTTCTTTAACCGTTTGGATCTGTATCTAAGACGCTAAGGGAGGATTTACATCTGTAATTACAGACCCACTGTAGATTATATTTGTTGTTGCCTTAACCTATTCATTTTACAAAAAGACTACAGGTGAGCGCAGACGTGACAGACTCCATTACTCAATTGATGAAATATGAGTCACCTTCAACATATTGTGCTTGCACAATCCAGGATGCCCTTACTATTTTCTAAATGCAAGCAAGGTCATTATTCAATTGAGGTAGTTGTAGTAGCAATATGTAATTTAATACTGGAGATCTGGAATTTAACATACATACAGAAGAAAACCCTTCCCCTCCCAACTGTGTCCTTTCCTCCTAACCCCAGGGGAATGTTTTATAAGCGTACCCCACTACACACAACTCGGGGGTTGCTTGCCTGATCAGTTTCCAACTTTCAGTATGGGCCGGGAAAGTAGATGTATACATTAGCATAACAGTGAATACACAATTGATAACACGGCTTGAAAACAGTTAAAGTTTGGGGTGGCGAGGTGCGTTTTTGACAGGTGCGACAGGTATGGTCGTCCTAGAAATGGAAGTCCAGGGTTAATCGGAGTATCAGGGCACATGTACATAAGTCGGCCTATATGGGCCGAATGTCACCTGTACATTGAAATGGGGAACGAACTACCATTCCCGTCACACCGGCTATTATACACTTAACCATGGGATCGATATGTAGATCTGTCGGTTTTGCACCATCCGTATTATCAACACACATTTATAGAGATTTGACCTTTTTAAATATTAAAATGTTTGTGTTCTCCGTATATATAGGCCTACAAGTGTAAAATTGGGCACTCCACAATTATCGATGGACCTACATTGTAGGCCTATACTGTATATAGAACCCATTTTACGTACCTGTGTGTACGATTGCCAGCAACGTAAACAAACAAGTCAAAATGGCCTTAAATTGGCCAGCCATGTTGTTGATAGCGAAAGCTGCAGTTCTTTTTTTTTTTTTATCCAAAGGTGTCGTAGTGTTGCGACCTTTTTTGGTATGATTGTTAGACCCTCAAAACCTAATTCGATACACAGCACTACCCTTATGAGCCGTTGAAAATGCGGAGTCAGTCTACTGATGTAGCCCCTGTAAGCTTGGTCTCACGCTCAGCAAATTGGTCATGCAGTATTATACACGAATTTATAAAAACAGGTTCGCCCGGTAAGTAGGTATGCAGTTTTTATTTAGGTCGCGATCAGAAAGAGGACGCTTTGCAATGTGCATAACATTGACCTGTGGATATTGAACATCTCTTTTTCACATTTAAGTCTAGTTTGCTTTATTGTATAATCATTTCATGATTAATTTGATGTACGAGGTAGGCCCGTATACAGTATTTTCTTGCTTTATATACGCACATTACTGAAAATATAACGATAAAAAAGGGCTTTTCTGCCCTACATGTAGGCCTACCTACAATCTTATGTCTAAAGAAACAGACACAATTGTCTTGACACACTTAACTTTCACTAAATACATTTTCCTTCTATTTAATTTTGTATAGTAGGCCTACTAAGCAATGATGTCTTTACAATTTAAAGTCTTTAAAGGAATATATTTAGTGTATACAAACTGGAGGTACTTCCTTGGATAACTTTAGAGTGTATCCGATTATTATTATATCCAACTAATATAAGAATTATCCCATTAATTTCTATCCGAAGAATCACATACTCTCTTGATTGTAATAATGCAGGGGAAACCATGGCATGCGCGTGCAAGCCATTAAAAAGTTTCTTCCGATGAGGGTATCTCCAATCCTGAATCGGAAAATAATCCTAACCCTGCTTTCAGAACGCTCAGTCCAGTTTTCAACCCTACATTTGGTGTTCGAAAGCCATGAACTGCAGCGCTGTTCACTTGCGGTATCTCTTGAGGTATCCATACCCAGGAATTTGTGGCGGCGGTCGTGTGACCACGACTGGGGCACCTTGCGCTGCGGCTGATGTGGTATACACGACTGCAGCACTGCCAGGGGGGTTATTAACTGTAAATAAATTTACATTTTTATTGACGTTAATAGTGTTTCGTATCTTTCATCATATCTGTATCTTTGCATACAACAGATATATGTGATTTGATGGCACTGCAGAAATCACGAAGGTACATACGCCAATGTTCTGCCAAATATGGACAAGGCATATGAGCGATCTTACAGTTCGCAATTCAGTTGATTTGGGGCTACCTTGTCTTTGTAAAATATTGCATAATTTTTCGTCCTTCATACAGACTTGACATTTAATATGGAATATTTATTTTCAAATTATTTTTCATCAGTTTTTTCCTATTTTGCTGACTGATAAATGAAAATAAGGATTAAAATCGTGTTTTAATAACTTTTATTTATCTCTTTGATGTCATTGTGACATCAGTTCATTAATTGAATTCGCCAGTGGGGGCAAACAAAAATGCATTGCCCATTTCAAGTCGCACGACAACCATTGAAAGCGATATTTTGGATCTCCATATTTTCGAAATTATCGTCTTTAAAAGAGTTCTACGCCCCACAAAGGGCCCTCATGTCAGTGTCTTGTCACAGCAACGGTTGCTGTTACACCTGACCTCATTTGGCTGCTACCAGAGCTTTCAAGTGGCAACCCGCAAGAAAACGCAGTAGATACTCCAGCGCAGTAGACTACTGCAATCATAGACTTGTGAAGATTCTTTTGTCTATAGCTATTTATATTAGTTTGATCTTACCATCCAATATTTCATCTGCTTGCAGTCAGATTTCATCAGGGAATGAGGTTGTGACAGGTATGACAACCTGTCACCCCCTCTGGTGTGCTATTTGGTCAGATCCCCCCCCCCTTTCCTGCCCCTCCCTTAGGAGTGGTAGGTAGAGGTTGGGTAGCTCAGTCCCATCATTCCGATTCAACTTGGCCCCATGTAAGCGGATGTTAATCGCTTCAAGAACTTTCCGGTGTGGATCTCGTGGCTCTCTTTCCAAGATTTTTATGTCTTCTATGGTTGTTGATGTTATACAATGCCCTGTCTGTTCCTGGTGTTGGCTGAGGGCAGATTTTTTATCATGTTTTTTGATCGATTTTTGATGTTCAGCGATTCTTTCTGTTAAGGAACGTCCTGTCTCTCCGATGTATTTCTCTCCACACACCTGACACTCACACTGGTATACAACTCCACACTGTTCTCCTGGGTCTAATTTGTCCTTTGGGGATACTAGGATGCCTCTTAGTGTCTGTCCTGCCTTATGGTGTAATACTACATTCCTTTTTCTGAATGCTCTTTTTAGCTTTTCACTAACCCCTTTCATGTAAGGTAGTACTGCATATCCTTTGGGTTTTTCTTTTTCAGTCATGTTCTCGGGCCTTTGTTGTTTTTCTCTTCCTTTCTTTTCCCCTTCTTTTATAGCCCATTCTGGGTAACCACAATTTCTAAAAGCCACTCTGATTTTTTCCTTCTCTATCTCTACCTTGGGTTTCTCTTTTATCAGTGTGTCTGCCCTATGCATCAGCGTCTTGATGATTCCTATCTTCTGTTGGACAGGGTGGTGGGATGTCCACTGAAGGTAGTGGTCTGTATGCGTAGGTTTTCTATAAATGTCTGTTGTGATGTTATCATTCTTCCTAATAAGCTGTAAGTCCAGCATGGGTAATGTCTGGTTGTCATCTTCCCTTTCTATTGTGAACTTAATGCTGTCATGTTGTGCATTGATATGTCGGAAAAGCTCCTCCTCGTGTTGTTTCTGTATTATAACCCCTGTATCATCGACGTATCTGGCCCAAAATTTTGGTGGGTGGGTGGCTGTTCTTAGTGCCTGCTCTTCAAACTCTTCCATGAATAGGTTGGCCAGGACAGGAGAGAGTGGAGAGCCCATTGCCATTCCATATACCTGTTCGTAAATACGCCCTTGGTACCGGAAGTAGGTTGTCTCAATTGTTAGCTTTAGTAAGTCCCCAAAGTCCTCTNAAGAACTTTCCGGTGTAGATCTCGTGGCTCTCTTTCCAAGATTTTTATGTCTTCTATGGTTGTTGATGTTATACAATGCCCTGTCTGTTCCTGGTGTTGGCTGAGGGCAGATTTTTTATCATGTTTTTTGATCGATTTTTGATGTTCAGCGATTCTTTCTGTTAAGGAACGTCCTGTCTCTCCGATGTAAATCTCTCCACACACCTGACACTCACACTGGTATACAACTCCACACTGTTCTCCTGGGTCTAATTTGTCCTTTGGGGATACTAGGATGCCTCTTAATGTCTGTCCTGCCTTATGGTGTAATACTACATTCCTTTTTCTGAATGCTCTTTTTAGTTTTTCACTAACCCCTTTCATGTAAGGTAGTACCGCATATCCTTTGGGTTTTTCTTTTTCGGTCCTGTTCACTAGCCTTTGTTGTTTTTCTCTTCCTTTCTTTTCCCCTTCTTTTATAGCCCATTCCGGGTAACCACAGTTTCTAAAAGCCACTCTGATTTTATCCTTCTCTATCTCTACCTTGGGTTTCTCTTTTATCAGTGTGTCTGCCCTATGCATCAGCGTCTTAATGATTCCTATCTTCTGTTGGACAGGGTGGTGGGATGTCCACTGAAGGTAGTGGTCTGTATGCGTAGGTTTTCTGTAAATGTCTGTTGTGACGTTACCATTCTTCCTAGTAAGTTGTAAGTCCAGCATGGGTAATGTCTGGTTGTCATCTTCCCTTTCTATTGTAAACTTAATGCTGTCATGTTGTGCATTGATATGTCGGAAAAGCTCCTCCTCGTGTTGTTTCTGTATTATAACCCCTGTATCATCGACGTATCTGGCCCAAAATTTTGGTGGGTGGGTGGCTCTTCTTATTGCCTGCTCTTCAAACTCTTCCATGAATAGGTTGGCCAGGACAGGAGAGAGTGGAGAGCCCATTGCCATTCCAGAGGGGGTGACAGGTTGTCATACCTGTCACAACCTCATTCCCTGATGAAATCTGACTGCAAGCAGATGAAATATTGGATGGTAAGATCAAACTAATATAAATAGCTATAGACAAAAGAATCTTCACAAGTCTATTACAATAACATAGCTAATGAAACTGTTCTACACTACTGCAATCATACTGCAAACATGCTTCAAATCTGCTTCGATTGGGGAGCTAATTAGCATATTTGAAACATGCTTCTATCATGCTGCTAATCTACTGCATTAATGCTCCTCTCTGTACAAACCTATGTACTTTTTGGAGTAGAATTGCAGTAGGCTATGCTGCATTTCTACTGCAAATATGCTCCAAACCTCTACTGCGTTAATGCTTTTTTGCTACTTCGATACTACTGCATTTTCGTGCGGGAAGGCGTTCCTTAGGATATGTTTTTAGAGTTTAATCTGGAAAAAAAATTCCAGGCAACGGTCAAAACTTGTCCAATTTGGTTCAGTTTTGTTGTAAGACATGTAGGCCGTTGATTCGGAGAGAAATAACCTAGCCATGCGTTGTCTATGTGGTTCAAATATGGCGATTTTGATGACCAATGTATCTGCTCAAGCCCTTGGCTCTGTAAGTTATCTGCTATTAAAAGTGCTCTGTGTGAACGGGCAATCTCATTGTGCAACCTAAAATTGTTCCTAAGGTGCCCCCTATCAAAAGATAGTCAAATGGTTCCCAGATTATTCCTTTATTTCATCTGGTTTAGGTTTTCATCAATGACTACCATTGGTGTTTTGGCACCAATATGGTATCCACTCCAAATACTGACGCTGTCAATGACCCTAGTCACTTCAGAAGCGGCACACGCTTTGTCGTTGGCCTCTGCAGGATGTCTGTAAACTCTGTTTTGACCAGTTAAGCGATACAGGTGAAATCTGACCTCAATAAAGAAAGCTTCGCGGTTTCAGTGTTCTACCCAGAAACGGTCATGGTCCACAATTCATTAGAGAAACAGACGACGCTGTTTTGCTGTTTACAGTGGCTTCCTCAGAGGTCGTTTGGTATCCTAACCTGCTAAAACCAGTTTGATATTCGCTAAGAGTCTTGAAAAACGCGTTTTGGTCACAATTTGCCCCTCATTCTGAACGGACTGGGTGGGTTTTGTTTAGTTGCAGCAGCATATCCGGAAGGACAGTGAGTCCTGTGCCCTGGTGGTAAGATGTCGATACATTGGGCGTGCTCT